ACAGCTAATGCCTCAAATTCCTCATCCAGACCAGTCTCCAGACAGAGGAGAACAAGTTCTCCCTCTGAAGATTCCCTCACGACCACAGTTATTTATTGAAACTGACACCATTGAGATACAGATGCGCAAAGTAAACCCTCCACCACCTTACCCAGGTACAGTGGTATCTGCTGCAGCTGCCGCACCCACTACGGCCCCTCCTGGTCTTCTTGTTAGCAATGAGAATGGCACTACACTGTCAACAGATCCATGTTTAACTAAGGATGAATTCTCTCTTAACCCAATTAGCCTCCAGTACCCAACTCCACTAGGCTATGAAAGAATCACTACTTTTGACAGCAGCGGAAATGTCGAAGAGGTGTGTCGCCCAAGGAGACGCCTTTTAAGGAACCAAAATGCCTATGGGATGCAAGGAATGGGCAGTTCCGCCACATTGAAAGTAACTTCATCTGAGAACAAGAAGGTCCAGTTGCCATACAGCTCAGCAACTCTTAGTCGCCTCTCAGTGCCTAGATATTCCATACCAAGCGGAGACCCACCACCTTATCCTGACACGTCTAGCCAAATGAACACAATCAGAAGTCCCACGCAAAGGATTGACAGCAGTTTGATTCATGCCACTTTGCGCCGTGATCGCAGGGAACCGACCCTGAAGGTTTCTCAAATGGTGGATACAGTGAGGACTCTACCAACTAAATCCAAAATGAACGGTTCCCTCACGCTCTCCTATCAGCCAAGGATACCTACTGCTTTGTATACATGCACTCAGTGTAGCAGTAATAGCTGCAGCACTAGTTTAAGTGTCACTGGTGGCGGCACCAACAGTAGTGGAATTGCTGGAGGAACTGTGGTGAGGCAAGACTTTCCACCTGGAAAAGGGGCTCAACACAGCACGATAATTTTGCACTCCAAAAGTTCCTCGCCATTAGCCTCCCAGTCCTCCTATAATCTCCTGAGTCCCATTGACAACAGTAGAGACAGAACTGTCTATGTGAACTCTGCCTTTACGGAAGACGAGACACTAAGTCAGCAGTGCCATCTTGAAAAGTCAGTGCGGCATTTAACACTTGATGTCAAATTGACAGTCAAACGGCCTCCACCTTATCAATGGGACTCTCCTGCAGCAGAACAACTCTGGATACCTCAAGAGCAAAATTTATTGCCTCGACCTCCAGGACCACCACATAAGCCACCACCATTTTTACTTAGCCAACCACAGCACTTAGACATGACCCGACTACCTTTTGTCCTTTCAACAAAGCCACCCCCCAGTCCCAGTTCTATGACCCTTCCTTCAGCCTATCAGTTATCCCTTTCACCCTTCCCATCAGTTGTAGGGCATGGTGGACCTCAACTACAGCCTTTACAGAGTCCTGCACAATCATGTGGCCCCAGTGACATGGTAACATCTAGCCCTTTTAGCCAACCAGACTCAACTTTAGTCCCACCCCCAGGTTATCCTGCAAATTTGACCAATCTAGGTTGCTGCACTCTACCTCCCATGTACCCAGGGACTAGCTCATGCAGCAACCTTCAGCTGCATCCAATGAGCTTGCATCCTTGGAGCACATACAGCACTTGTCCTCCCATGCCAGACCATTCCGCCACACTGCCCAGTAAGACCCATCAGGCTCTGGAGAAGTCGGTTCTCTCTCCACCTCCACCTCCCCCACCACCTCCTCTTCCTCCTCCTCCTCCACCCGTCGAGCTCTTGAACCATCAGAGCACCTCTGAGGTGGTTGCGGAATCTGGGGAGAGCTTTCAGGATCAGTCCTCTCTCAATGAGAGTCCACAAGGAGCAGAGAGGTTCAGCAAGAAGACACGTAAGAGGCTTGACAGCAGGGCAGAAGAGGCCAATATGTCTGGAGTTTCTGAAGGGAAATCCAAAAAAGAGAATCGCACACTCTCTGACTTCAATTCCCTGATCTCCAGCCCAAGACTTGGCAGCAGGGAAAAGAAGAAACCTAAAGGGCAGAAAGAGCCATTGAACAAGGCCAAGAAATTGAGTAGGACCTCCAATGAGTTCCAGGACAGCTCAGAGAGTGAGCCTGAACTCTTCATCAGTAGTGACGAGTTGATGAACCAAAGCCAGAGCAGCAAGAAAGGATGGAAGAGCAAATGCAATCTGCGTACAGCAAACGAACTTGAGGAAATCAAGTGTCGTAAAGCTAACGAGAGAGAGGATCGTAGTCTTGGCAGCCAAGGCTTTGTCTATGTCATGGCCAACAAGCAGCCATTGTGGAATGAAGCCACCCAGGTTTACCAGCTTGACTTTGGAGGACGGGTGACACAGGAGTCAGCCAAAAACTTTCAGATTGAGCTTGATGGACGCCAGGTAAGCGATTTTATTTATTTGAGAAACCAGTTTGAAAATAATATTTTTGCAGTTCCATTTTGTGACACTAGGGGAAAAGAAATTACACCTTTAACAAATATGCACCATACATATTCAGTAGCTTTGAGCAGTGGTTCTTAATCCTGGTCCTAGGGACCCCTTGTTCTGCACATTTTGCATGTCTCCCTTATTTCACACATCTGATTCAGATCACCAGCTCATTAGGAGAGAGCTCCATGATTTGAACTGTGTGTCAGTTAAGGGAGACATAGAAAACCACTGGCTTTGAGTAATAAACATCTACCCTGCAACCATTACCCTGCATCTAACCCCAAAATTCTCTATTACAGGTAATGCAGTTTGGCAGAATCGATGGCAATGCATATATCCTGGATTTTCAGTATCCATTCTCAGCGGTACAGGCATTTGCTGTGGCCTTGGCCAATGTAACTCAGAGACTTAAATAAAAAACCTCTCCAGCAATCTTGTCCTTGAGAACAGATGGACTGAAAAAAGAGTTTATTGTTAATTGCAGATTGTGAGAAATATTACATTCTCTGCTGCCATAACGTCTGTACAATGCCGGTTAGTAGGCGAGAGATCTGGTCACTCTCAGGCAGAGCGTACACAAGACGTAGACAGGTGGTCCGAAAATAGATGTAGTGCTTTAAAGTACCTTTTTGCTAACAAAGGTACAAGCTGATTTAAGGTTCCACCTAAAAGGTGGTTGGTATACATCTGAAAAAAGTTAATATTTGTGTATTGATGGAATATTGTTTTATTTATTAATTCACTTTCATTGATTTTTTCCATGTATTTCATTAGCATATAATGGTGTGATTTAAATATAAAGATAATTACTAAAGGTGAATCTTAGACTGTGGGCTTTGTTTCTTTTTTTCCCTCTGAATACCCACCTCCTTTTATGTTTGTACCAGAGATTTATGTGCCAAATTTGGATTTCCTATGTATAATCATTGTAAAGTGACAGATTTTGACTATTGTCTGTGGTCAGTAACCAATGAAAATCTAGAGAGGAAAAAAACAAGTTATGTTTGAATGTTCTCATCCCGTGACTCACTTCCATGAAGTGAAACAGAGATAGTATATTCAAGTTATAATCATATTTTCCCAATTGTGCCATTATAATGAATGCATTTTTATGGTTTAAAAATCAATTTAACTTTAAATGTAACTTTTTCTTCACAAAATGTCTTATGTTATATTGCATCATTTGCACACTGTGTTATTGCAGTATCTCAGTAATGTCCTTTTTGAATGAATATTTGCTTTTTAATGTTAACAGTAACAGAAAAGTTTGAACAATTTTTAATTACTTTCAAATATATTATATCATATTGTCATGTAAGTGACATGACAGAAAAGTGCTGTAGTTAGATGTACCTGAAAATGTACTCATATTGTCCATGACACTTTAGCACGAACTATAGTATGCATTCATTTAGCCAAAAATGTCTTATATCACTATATAAATCAAACTTAACACACTGTATATTATGCAATGAACGGAATCTAAATGAAATCAAAAGTTGATAAGTAGGAGTTTTTCTCATTCCTAAGTTAAATAGTCAACCTAAATTGCTTAGTTTGATTTATGTAAAGGGACATCTTTTAATAATTATATTTAATATTTGGTTTCAAATATTTCATGTTTAATATTCTGCATCAATATTTATGTGTTCTTATGGCAAATCAGCTAATTGATTTGTTTGTTGTTGCTTAGTTTCTGATGTTTTCCAGTAATTTCATCAATTTTAATCACATTTTTGTTGTAAGCCAAACAGTGGTTCAGAGTGGGGTAGTGATATGGTTGACGTTTTAAGCACTTCTTGATTATTCTTGATGTTGTGTGCTTTGATGATTTGCAGTTGCAGTTATTTTTAGCCACTTTGTACTGGGATATTCAGGCCCAAATGAAATTATGTGGAATGTGAGGCTTTAACTGTGCTTTGTTACTTAATTATTCTAATGTACATTTACAAAATGTAATTCAAGGGTGTCTTGGAAAAGCATTAGAATGTCTTTGCAGAGTAGGCTTAAAGTCATGAAATAAAATCAAACTAGTTTGATGAAATCTGTGTTGATTATTGATGCTGTACAATAATCTCAATCAAGTTTTTGGACATAATAGTATTTAATTCACACCTGCCTCAGTGAGAAAATCTCAGGTTTGAAAAGCTGTGATAAACATTCTTTTTGAGATGTTGTTACTGCACTGACCTCTAAACGGCGCGCTAATGTTCGCATCGTGCTTCCTACTAGTCCTTGTTGGAATCTTGAGTTTGATTCATGTTAGCGAATCGGTTCGTTCACATGGTTCGTGGCAATGAGCCTGTTTTTTAAACCGACTCACTTTTTTGGATTTAACTTTTAATTCTATTAATTAGTTTATTTTGAAATCACTGTTCTGTATTAGGCTATTAAAATTGCATTAAATGTTGTTTTTATTGCTCAAACATTGTTCACACTGGAAATTAATGACTGAGCAGTTCTGTAATGTTTCCAGTATTAAGAAAAATGTCAATTTCCAATATTGTTACAGGTTTTATTCCTAAACACAGCTGAGTGATCCGCGCTTTGCGAATCGGTTCGACCGAACATTGAAAAGATTCAGTTCAAATGATTCTTTTGAGAATCGGAGACCATCCACTCTGTTGAGTTTCCCAGCTGACAGGTTAAGCACGCGGTGAAAGATCTCAGAGACTTGACAATGGATATCGATGAAGATATAGGTATGTAGATACATTTAAATGAGTGGTTGTTAATGAGTGTTTAGCATTTAGCAACGTTTTGAACTTTTAGCGCGTTTGCCAATGACAACGACGTATTCTCGAGCATTTTACATTGTTTCTTTACTGAACAGTGAATGCATGTTAACTTCATATAGGTGATTCTTCAACACCAGAGGCTCCAGCCACTAAAATGTCCAGACAACAGATATTAACACTTATTGCAATGGCCTCCATAAACTTCAGTTCAATGATCTGTTACTCCATTCTGGGACCATTTTTCCCAAATGAGGTACAAAGATGATATTTTATATAATATGATTTGTATGATCAACAATATGGAATAGAATTTGTTCTAAGTACTGTGCTTAGGGCATGTAAAGTTTCTTAAACCATGCTACAGTAGGATAAGAATTCATTTCAATCTGATTCATTCTCTCTAGGCAAAGAAGAAAGGTGTCAGTCAAGCTATGATTGGTTTAATATTCGGAATCTATGCATTATGCACTTTGGTGGGCTCATTGATACTTGGTAAATATGTAAGTGAATCATTATTTCAGAAGATACACAACAGTTTTCCATTATGGATTGCACACACTATATCAGTGCATTTGACCTCTGTTTCAGATTGTCCAGATAGGAGCCAAGTTTATGATTGTGGCAGGCTTGTTCGTATCGAGCGGATGCACTGTACTCTTCGGGTCAGTGAATCTGTGATGTTTTATTGTGTTTTAAATGTAGTATTTTGTGTCTTTTAGTCTGTGTCTATTAACTTTCAGGTTATTTGCATGCTGGATTATGCCTAAATGTTGATAAAATGACTTTACTCTTACGGAAAATTGGATGAAAAATGCTGGTGACACATGTAACAGAGAATTTGTACTATTTCATCATTAATGATATTGTTTCTTCTGCAGATTTCTTGACCAAGTGTCTGATGGGACAGTTTTCATCGTGCTCTGTTTTATCACACGGTGCATAAATGCAATTGGCTTTTCCGCCGCCGTTACATCATCTTTTGCAGTTTCAGGAAAAGTTTTCCCCGACAACATAGCGACTGTTTTGGTGAGTTGTAGTCAGTGCTTGTTTTTCAGTGCAGTAATGGTGTTTTGGAGTAAAGTGACAAAGGAAGCACTATTGCACGTCACAAAAGATGTGCTGTTTCTCAAGAGAATCATCTTTAAATTCAGTTATTCAGTCTGTCTGGTTGTTTGGGTTCTCACGGTCGGGGCATATACACAGAACCGTTCTTATGTTTTTAATATTTACACAAGTGTGCTATAATGTTAAATGTGTCTCTATAGTGATATCTCATTCTCTCAGGGCTTCATGGAGATTTTTACAGGTCTTGGCCTGATATTGGGGCCTCCGTTGGGCGGCTGGCTCTATCAGTCATTTGGATATGAAATCCCATTCGTTTTCACAGGATGTCTTCTGTTTGCGACCGTGCCTCTTAATTTGTGGATTTTACCAAGCTTTGGTTAGTACGGACTTCATACTGGTTAAATATTACATGCCTTTATTAATTTAATTTAAGCTTATTCCATTTGGCATACTCCTAGTTAAGTCATGTCACAAGGATTTGATTGCCCCGTGTCTGCTTTTGTTATTGTTTGCCCTCCAGCCATGGAGATAGACGTGTGTTTATTTCATTCCAATATAGATGCTGTTCCTTCTTCCCAGAATTCCTTCCTCAGATTGTGTACCAGAATAAAGATCCTTCTCATCTGCTTCGTGGTGTTCACGTTGAGTTCAGGACTTGGCTTCCTGGATGCAACACTGTCCATATTTGCCATAGAAAAGGTTATGAAGATTTAGAAACTACACTGAAACATGTATATATATATATATATATATATATGTAAAAATATATAACATATATATAAAATATTTTGTGCTTAAACATATAGACTACATGTAAACTCACCACAGTTTCAAATCAGGGAAAATGTTCTAAACTCTTCATTCCAAAATACTGCTGTAAATGTTAATGTAAAGGTTCACATCTCTATATGTATTTTTTTGTGAACAGCTTAATCTCAGTGCTGGTTCGGTGGGGCTACTCATGATTGGACTTTCACTGCCATATGGGGCGGCATCACCCATCTTTGGTGTGATCAGTGATAAATATCCTGTAAGTCAATATTTAAACAGTTATCAACATTTTTACAGTGACAATTGAAAATTCTGATAAAAAATAAAATTTTTGAAATTCCTAATGACATTTGAGGCTTTATTGTTACCTATTTATGTATTTATTTATATATATTAATTGTATTTATATTTTTAAGATGTTTCATTTTTAATTTAACGTTTTTATCATGTTTTTATATTATTTGATTTATATATATATATATATATATATATATATGTATTATATATTATTATATTATATATATATATTTTTTTATTTTTTTTTTTAGTTTTTGGAAATGTTTTTTTTTTTTTAAACATAAGCATAAATAAAATTTTATTTATTAAGAAATAATTTCATCTGTGGCTGTAAAATGATTATTGGTGCAGTCAATTAGGAAATGGATGATGGTGGTTGGAGGAATGGCCACAGCGGTGAGCTTCTGTTTCCTCGGCCCACTTCCTGTTTTCCATATTAGAAGGTGAAACATTCATTTCTAACTTTTTGAATGCCAATTCCTCAGCTTTTGCTGTTTGTTACATTAAAGCACAAATCTGTCACTAATCGGTGAAATGTTTTTGTGTGTTCAGTCAGCTCTGGCTCACCGTCCTCATGCTGATCGTGGTGGGCTTTTCTCTCTGTATGAGCTGTATCCCCACCTTTGCTGAGATGATCGCTTGTGCACAGTGAGGCAAATGCATCATCGTACAAATCCTAGTTCTCCCACTCAGCACTGAGTCACATTTTATGTTAGGCCATTTAACAGGTTACTGTGTCTGTAATTCACTCAGTTATGTCACACTAAATTCCTGAAATGGTTTGAATAAATGCAGTTAACCCTGAAACTGAGCAAAATACAACAATACAAACCTCTACAAAATATAAACATGTTTTGACGCACATGTTCCTTGTATTGCAGTGAAAATGGCTTTGAGGAGGGCATGAGTACACTGGGGTTGGTGTCAGGCTTGTTCTCTGCAGTCTGGTCTGCTGGGTGTGTATGAAAATAAAGTTTACATGCAATATTCAAGAATATACTTTAGAATTTCCCCATCATGAAACCTGAATCATCTTTTTCATGTTGAAGGATGTTCTTTGGGCCAACTATTGGAGGATACATCACACAAGCACTCAACTTTGAATGGAGCGCAGGAGTTCAAGGCGCACTCGCCTTTCTCGCTGTAAGCAAAATAAATTTCCAAATAAAAGCGTAACAGGCCATTTTTATAATAGATATGCATTTTCTTAAAGGGGTGATATGATGTTGCTAAAAAGAACATTATTTTGTGTATTTGGTGTAATGAAATGTGTTTATGCGGTTTAAAGTTCAAAAAACACATTATTTTCCTCTCTTTGGATTTGAGACTTTAGTCTTTGCAACTTTACAGATCTTCTTTATGCACCAAGAGCTTGTAACACTTCAAAGAGAAAGGAAAAAATTTAAATCGCATCATATGACCCCTTTAACTCTAACAATTAGTTTTTACGGAGCCATGGCATGCAGGAAAAAAATAGTAGGATAAATCGTGTGCACGATTTACTAATTCGTTCCCTCGATTTATAAATTGTGCGCACAATTTACTAATTCGTTCCCTACGATTTATAAATCGAGAGAACGAATTAGTAAATTGTGCGCACGATTTAGCAAATTGAGGGAACGAAATACTAATCGTGTGCATGTTTTAGTACATCGAGAGAACGAATTAGTAAACCGTGCGCACAATTTATTTATTTTTTCTTGCATGTCATGTGCGGCGGGGCTCCGTAAGTTTTGTATGTACTTTGATGATAAATATTAATTTATTGACTTGTTTACCCAAAGGCCTTACTACAAGTAATATATTTCACAATAGAGGACATACAAAAGAAGTAAGCAGTTTTTTTTAAATATTTGTATTACTTTATTCAGCAATATGGTAAATATTCATTAAAATTAAATAATATTATAAATATATAAATATTTGAATCATTCATTCTGTGAAGTATTTCTTAAGTTGGTAAAAGGGGTATAATCAGAAAATAGTCATAGGAAACCGTTGATTATGCATGATCATTTTTTATGTTTCAGGTCACAAAAGGCCAGCAGGACTGACGTGTCATCATCTCAAGGAGAAAAATCCCCTCTTCTCCCTAAGACAGATCATCTCAGGGTTGACATCAGCTGAAATAAGCCCCTGCAAGCTTTTAAATGGAAGAACAAACCTAATCATATTGCTGCCAAAGACAGGTGATGTGGGATATGATTGACGGATAACAAATAAAGAACGCAGAGAAGGTCAGTTTAACAACAAAGATGTCATACATGTATTATTTCAAGATTAATTGAACCTTTACGTAGGAGTTCAGTGAACATTTACAATGAAAATGCAAAAGTCCTGTAAGAAGATTGAATTAAGAGAGAAGTAATGCATAATAGGAACAAGATGACATGTACACTAAACAGATCTCAGATGTGCCTTTTCTAATAAACACTTAACAGCGTTTATTTTTTTTGACTTATTAGGGCTTATTTATTGTGTTTAGTAACTTTGATTAACATGAGATGTAATATCATCCATTCTAAAAAAAAATGGGTGTACATTTTTGAAGTAAATTGAAATCCTTAAGAGTTCCTTGTGTGTATATAATAATTCATTACCTCATATACAGTGTGTCTTTCGGTACAGTACACTGGATTATTTCTGAAGTCTTGTTGAGGTTTCAGAAATCTTTTGGACTAGTGCAAGAATGTGGGATTTGTATTTTAATATTACGTAACACAGATTACCCATCTAGCCCTAGTTTGTGACTGACCCCATTGTAACTGCTTTTACAGATTTACAAATTATTGCCATATTCCTGATGGAAACAACTTCTACAAATGTACAGTTTTACAAAATACATTTTTACAATGTGCATTACAGTATTTTCATAGCAATGAGACCCTTTAGTTCTTTGGAGCTGTTGCATAAATATTGACCCTTTCAACACTGCAGAAAATTGTTTACTCTGTTACATGACAATATATGCAATTACTTGTTTAAAATCGGAACATTTTAAAATCTTGCATTAATTTGTGATACAGAAATGCATATATATATTTAATCAACTGCATATTTAACTCTGGTGCTAAATAAATACCATAGTTGATTCCCTTCTGTGATATGTGAATAAAATATATATTCATATTAGATATGTCATTATGATTACTGCTGGAGTTGTTGCTGTTATATTGAAAATTTAAATTTAAATTAACGAAATGTTTAAAAATACAAATAACACATAGTACACAATATACTGTACAGAAACAGTAAAAATATCTTGTAAACCTACGTAATACAAATATCAGTATCAAAATGACAAAATATATATATTTTAAAATAAGGCCAACTACAAAAAATTCATCCACATAAAACACTTTTGGAAACACGTTGTTTCTATGTCCTTAGTTCCTTCATAACAGAGGTAAGTCTTAGCAATCAGATTCAATCACGTTAGTTCAGTCCTTCACCTTCAAACGCACCGTTGGCTTGGCCTAGTCTGGGGAGGGGTCTCCTTCTGGAAGATGCTGAAGACATCTCACGATCTGAGGACGGGACCCGAGGCAGATCAGAGGGAACTTCACTCCGCTTCACCTTTTTCTTCTTCTTTTTTGTTCTGTGAAGAAAAGAATATCAATGTGTGCTCAAGAATACAAGTACTCAGATGACGGATGTGGTTAATTCATACGTGGTGGAGGACGCCTCAGGGTCAGTGTCCAGCTCTGAGATGATCTTCAGCTCTCCAGAGGCACTGATGGCTGCAGACAGCTGCAGGTACAGAGAACATAAGGGTCAAACTATGAAGTTTCACTAACTTTATGGGAGGAATAAATGAAAATGTGTCATTACCTGGACTGGTGTCGCACGCTCGACTCCTTCAGGTTGATCTAACGCTGACGGCAGTGCTTCTAAAGCTCTTGAGAGCTCGTCATCAAAACTCCCTGTGGGAGATACACATGGATTTAGACAATATAATATCATACATGTGCTTTTGGTTATCAAACCTTATTCACAAACCATCATCAGCCACATAGGACGCTGGGAAGTATCCTTCCTGTCCACTGACCAGTCGCCCAAACCACCAGCTGTCATTGTCTTTATACAGCACATGGATCACATCACCGCGGCGTATCGACAGCTCATCCGATCGATTGGCTCTGTACTCGTATAAAGACACGACCTAGAGAACATTTAATACAAGAGGTCATTAACTGACTCCAAGTAATTCCACATTTATAGTAATGTATTATAATAAAACATTAAAGTTTACCGTTTGATGGATTTGCCCAAAGTCTGTCTCTGCTTGTTGAGAGAATTCATAATCCAGTAAACTCTGCGGACATGAACACAATCTTAAACAAACCAAAACTACAAAAACAAATCCAAAAATATAATTGAAAACAACTTTTCTTATGCTAATCAAGCCTGCATTTATTTGATGAAATACAGTAAAAACAGTAATATTGTGAAATATTTTTAGAATTTTAAATAACTTTTTTATTTTCATATATGTTAACATTTAATTTATTCCTGTGATCAAAGCTGAATTTTCAGCATCATTACTTCAGTCTTCAGTGTCATGATCTTCAGAAATCATTCTAATATGCTGATTTGCTGCTCAACAATCATTGCTTATTATTATCAATGTTGAAAACAGTTGTGTTGCTGCATAGTTTTGTGGAAACCATGACATTTTTTTTCAGGATAATTTGATGAATAGAAAGTTCAAAATAACAGCATTTATTTGAAATAGAAATCTTTTGTAACAATGTAAAAGTCTTTACTATAACTTTTGATCAATTTAATGTGTCCTTCCTGAATAAAAGTATTAATTTCTTAACTTTTGAATGGTAGTGTAATACTAAAAACAGATCACATTGTCTTACTTTCTGGTGTTTGAGGGATGGAGCTCTTCTAATGGGCTGCCCAGCAGGACTGTAACCACCTGTGATAGGAGAACGATTTAAAGACCTAATGATTTCAAGTGCCTTAGAAACAAACTAAACTTTTCAATATACATACTAACATTTTTCAATCTTCTCTACCCTGTAGTGTTGAGATGTGCTCTTCAAAACAATGCATGCTCCAAGTTATCCTACATAATATAAAGGATAATGTAGAGAACATACTACTGTGTGAGGTGAGCGTGGCCTGTGGAATGAGTTGAGCGCTGAGTGATGAGGACATCTGTAGTTTGGAGTGAGGAGACAGCAGAGATGGAGGAGGAAGATACGAGGCCAGGCCCTGAAAGAAGCCACAATAACAAGAGCTCAATGTAGGACTGAGCTTCAGTATGAATGCTATATGATACGGTTTCTATTTTGAATATATAAAAATATGAGTGCTGCTCTTGTAGTAAATTATAATGTCAGTCTCATTGCAAATGGTTTTAATCATTGTATAATCAGTTCAAGGCCTAAACCGAACCTGCCAACTCCAATAAATCAGGTTTAGACAGAATAATTTTACTTCAACCAAAACTAGTACTGTTTGTGTCTATAAACATAATTTAATAAACTCTAGAAGCTATTTTACAGGTGTAACTTCTATAGCCAAGTGCAAAAGACAAATATTCACCTCTTGGCTCCTTCCCAGATAAGACATGCCACCTTTAAAAAAAAAATTATATATATGTATATATATATATATATATATATATATATTTGTGTCAATTTACAACAGACTTCATTGCAAATAAACATTATCATGTACATCACTTGCCTTGTTCATACATATCCACACCTGGGGAACTGCGATGGGGCTCCTGAAAGAAAAAAGTATAGCTGACAAGATTACTGACTGAATTACAATGCTGATAATAATCAGTTACAGTTTAATTAAATTTACAACAGCCTATCTATTTTTGGCCCTTAAAACTTCAAACTAATTCAAACTAAAAACCTTCAAGCTTTTAAAACTGATTCAAACTTTCTGGTCAGGCTTTGTCAAGCCAACATCAAAGTTTGTCCTGATTAACTTTTTTTTTTATGTAGTTAAATATAATCATCAACATGTTTACCAGTACAGAGTCTAGTTTCTGTTTGACCCGCTGCATCTTTAGAGACACACGAGCTGTGCTGGCGAATCGGTCCATGCTGGTGGCTGAAGTGTTCTGGAAGGTCGTGACCTCTGATGAATTCCTGCCCGTCTTACTGTCCAGATTCTCTGACCGGCTCGAGCCTCTCAAACTCTCCACCTCCATCTGAGCCACTGCGTACATGCACAAAACACTCATCTTTAAGAGAAAATTATCATATGACTTGTGTTTCTAAATACTAATGAATCAGTGGATTTCTGAGTCATTTAGAGGACTCACACTTCCGGTCATACAGATAGAGATGGATGGGCTGGTTTTGGCCGAAGGAACAGAAGGCCACCATGTTCTCATGAGGGTGGAAAACTACAGCTCGAAGCGCAGATGTATAGCACAGCTCAGAGTACACGGCGACCTGGTCACCTGCACAACAGATATCCCAGTTCAGTCTCCACTTGGATTTTTCTTTGTATTCATACTAAAGTGACTCAAAAGAATCTCCAAACCTGTCTCAGAGTTCCACACATACGCCAGTCCATCTTCACTGCCTGAAAAGATGAAGCTTCCGCAGGGAGTGAATGTGCTGTTGATTCGCTCCCTGTAGTTTGTGGCACCTATGTATTTCTTCACTGCAAGACTGTAAAACAAGTGTTTGTTTTTAATTTGATATTTGCATTTATTTCGGTTATTTTGAGTTCTTCCCTATAATTACTGGCACTATCAACAAATGCACTGATTCATGTGCTTTTTAAAAAGTCAACATGGAAGTAAAATTGGCTCAAATTACTCTTAATACACATATATTAGTCTCAGCCTCAGATGTCACGCCCACTTGAACGTCTGATGCATATGGCACACAAAAATGGAAACACTTCAGGAGTTTCGAAGTCGTCATCGGATTGGTTGAATTATACAGGATTTCCAGGAGACGTGTGTCGCGTTCTTTAACGTTCCGCCTGGAAACAGATACCGTCGTGCCAAACCCCATCACGAAAGAAGAAAGCCGTCGTGTTTACAACTGTGACGATGAGCGCTTATGAGGATCAACTAAACGCTGGATTCTCAAAATTATGTGAAATATTTAAAGTTCGCGGCATAGAATCTTTAAAATATGTCCAAAAGTTTTACACACCGGTCTGTTATTGTGGCGACATTTCCACGCCCCGAAACGCTGAAACTAAACGAACTATGATTGGTTGGTTGACATGTCGGTCAAATGGCCTCATGGGCAGGCCTTGGCCAATGAAAGCTGCCATGGATTCCAGACCTTCAGCCGCTACGCGAGACTACACATATATAGACTTGCTGCACATGATTTATCTTAATTAATTATTAATTTTGAATAATGAATACATTTTTCGCCAAAATGTAATAATATTACATTATGGTATTAAATAAATATTCAAATATTAATAAAAAGGTAGATACTTACATTCTCAAATCCATGACCCTTAAAACACTGTCTTTGGCATGAATTAAAAGTCGTCTTCCGTTTGAATGCACCTCTAATGAGTTG